GTCTGCGTGTGAACCGTGCAAAAGAAAGAAAAAACGCCTCAAATTCTTTTTGTTCAACACCTTCGCCGACATTTGGAACTCTTTTTGCCGTGTCTGTCGTGTCAACAAAGCAGAATGCCCAAGGAATTCTTTTTGCGCGCTTCTCCACCAACCCGATCGCCGAGACTGGCCTCTTTGACGACGGGCTCTCGGAGGAGCAGGAGCTGGTGCGCAACACGCTCCGCTCCCTCCACCCCCAGCGCGACGAGCTGCCGCCTCCCCAGCACCTTTGAGCCGGTTCCCGCCCTTCGGCGGCGTCAAGCGCTACGCGACTGACTCCGCCGAGTACAAGAAGGCCTTCTGGGAGGTCTTCCGTCGACGGTGTCAGCTACGAGGAGCTCGAGTTCCTGCACTACGCGGGCCCGGATGTGCGGGAGGTCCTGTTCGACATCGTGGCCGCCATCAACCAGGGCAGGGTGCACGACAGCGCCGCCGCGCTCTGGGGCGACCTCCAGCTGCTTGGGATCGAGAAGCGGGACGACAAGGGCAACCTCACTGGTGTCGCGGGGCGGGTTGCCGGAATGGTGGCACTGAGGCCCGAGGGGTGCGGGAGGCGCACGGCGGGGGCCGGCCTCGGGGTGAGGGTGAGGTCGGCCGCCGCCACCGGGGGTCGCCGCGCCGTAGAGCGGCCCGCCGGTCTCCCTGCTGGCGGTGCCTTGGCATCCTCTTGCGCCACGCCGCCGAGCCCTAGGGCCCGGACGACGTGGACTTTTCGGCGACCGGGACCCATGTCCGGCCGCCAAGTGGTGGCTCGCCGCCCGCTTCGCCCTGCGCGTCGAGTAGCGCGTGACGCAGCGAGTCGCCGTGGCACCACGGGTTGCGTTGCGCCCAGTCGCGGGCGACGCTGCGGCAGCTGCAGCCCAAAAATGCGCTGTCCGCTGCCTTGATTCGCTTGAGCGTGTCGGCGAACTGCTCCGGCGAGAGCTGGGGGTCGTGCCGGACATACACTCGTGCGTGTTGCAGTTCGGCCTGGTTGTTTGCGATAGCTTCGAGGTCGGGAGGGTCGCCTCTGAGCATACTTGCAAGGTACTCGTCGTACGCGCTCCTCAGCGCCCGCCGCGCGAGGCTGCGCCTGCCGAGCACCTGGCCAATGCGCTGTACCCCGAAGGGGTTGCCCAGCCCCAGCGGCCGGTGGCGCCGGATGTCGTAGCCCGAGCGATCTCGCGTGCACTCGTGCGCGCGCCACTCGGCGAATTTGCCCACCAGTATGCGCTGCTGCGACAAGCTCGAAAATTTCTCCTCCGCTTGCGGGGGGCTCTCCCCCGTCCGATTCGCGGCGGCCTCGATGGGTTCACGGGTTGTGACCCCTTCCTCTTGCAGCGAGCTGGCGCCGCGGCTAGCGGCCACGGCCCCTAGGCTCTCGTTCGAGCCGGTCGCCTCGTCCACGCCCGTCTCTCCCCAAGAGGTTGCTTCGCGTCGGATCTGCTGCAAGTAATCTGATGTCTGCTGCGTGTCCTTGATGGCAAGCCGCGAGAGGGCGTCCGCATTTGTGTTGCGGTCGCCCGGGCGGTGCATGAGGGTAAAGGAGAAGGCCTGAAGCTCGAGGGCCCAGGCTGCCATTCGGGTCGATCGTGACCCCTCCTTTTCCATCATATAGGTGACAGGCTCGCAGTCAGTGATGATGAGGAACGGTTTGGCTCGGAGCATCTTGGGCCAGCGCTTGGAGATGGCCAGGTAAACGGCGGCCGCCTCCTGGTCGGTGGGCGACCACTGCTGTTCCGAGCCACTCCACCGGCGTGACCAGTATTGCACTACGCGTTCGGTCTCAGTGCCGTCTGCGTCCGTGACTGTTTGGCTCAGGATGGCGCCCATGCCGATGTAGTGGCACGCGTCGACCGTGATCCTGAAGCTGAGTGCCATGTCCGGAGGCCGAAGCACCGGTTGCGATATGAGCGCCTCCCGGAGCCTCCGGAAGGCCTCGAGCTCGAGCTCGCTGGGGTCGCCCTTCGCCTTGTGCTGCACCCGCTGCTGCAGCGGCTCCATGATTATGGAGCACTCCGGGATCTGCGAGGCGTAGAAGTTGACGAGCCCGATGAAGTGCCGCATCTTCTCCTCGTTGCCGGGGAAGGGCAGCTTCTCGATGGCGGCGGTGTTGGCCTCCGAGGGCTTGTAACCGTCGCCATTGGCGACGTACCCGAGGAATTCAACCTCCCCCACTCCAACCTTGCACTTGGCCGCGCGCAAAGTGAAGCCGGCACTGGCGAGTCTGTCGAGGACCTGCCCCAGGTGCCCGAGGTGCTCCTCCCACGTCCTCGAGCAGATCAGGACGTCGTCTATGTACACGATGACGAAGTCGAGGCCCCGGAGCACCTCCTCCATGATTGCTTGGAAGCAAGCGCTCGCCCCTTGCATCCCCATGGCCATGCACTTGAACGAGTAGCGCCCGTTGGGCATGTTGAGGCTCATGGCCTTCGATGCCCGCGGCGTGGCCGGGATCTGATGGAAGGCGCTGTTCATGTCAAGCGCGGTCATGAAGCGTGCGCCGCCCAGCCTGTCGAGACATGCTTGCAGGGTGGGCAGGGGGTAGAACGCAGGCACAGTAGCAGCGTTGACCGTGCGGAAGTCGAAGGCCACCCGGTATCCGCCCTTGGGCTTAGGTACCACCACACAGGCGCAGCCGTGCGCTTCCTGCGAGGGCACCAGTGCTCCGACCGCAAAGAAGGTCCGCTGCATCTCGAGTATGGCCTCCTTCTGCTCGTGCCCCTGGTTGAAGTAGGGCTTGTTCTCTATGACCTTCGTCCCGCCCTTTTCTGGGTCGAATTCGGGGCGGAGGGTCACATCGAACACGCCCGCCAGGCAGCTCCCGATGCGGTCCCCCTTGGGGAACACGTAGCGCCTCCGCTCCGTGTAGGTCTCCATTAGCTGCTTGATGCGCCGCTCGTACGCCTCTGTGTCCACGTCTGCTCCCTCGGGCATGGGGTGGGTGGCCCTAGCGACCTCCTCCGCCGACAGCTCGGGCGGCTCGGGCGGCCGCACTGCGTAGTCGAAGTGGCCCTTCTCATCGGGCAGGTAGTAGCTGCACAGCACGGTGCCCTTTTGCAGGATTCGTTCGCAGGTCTCCTTGACGTCTAGGACGACTTGGAAGTGCCCCCCCATGACTGTGGTCACGTACGTGCCTATGCCCAGCCGCCCCGCTGCGCAGTCTCGGCCCACGTCGGTGTCGGGCGGCGGCGCCGTGTAGAGGACGCGCCGTCCCTCCAATTGCGCCGGGACGGCGACTCGCACGATGCCACGCCCGTCCCGACCTTGACGCTGGCCAGCGATCCGCACCTCGTCCGCTGCGCGAGCGGTGGCGGCTCTCTCTGCGTCCGCCGCTGCCACGCAAGGGTGGGCCGGCAGGAGCGCCCCGCCCTGCTCGAGCTCCGCGAGGTAGCAGAAGCAGAGGTTCGTGCCTGCCTCGACCCGGATCCGGCCGCCCGTAAGGTTGTCGACCTTGATCGTGATGTGCGAATCCCGGACTCGATGGAGGTTGCTATCCATTTGCGTCTGTAGCTGCAGCGCCGTGCGTGCAAAGAAGGCGCCCCTCGCCTCGTCGCCGGCTACGTCCTCGCCGGGAAGAGGTATCGGGAGGACGAGCTTACCCTCCATGGCGGGGTGGACCCTGACACGAACGGCGGTGGTCCCCCACGCCTTGAAGTTCGTGCGCTCGGCGAGCCGCATCGCAGAGCAGATTGTGAATGAGCTTGCCTGCGGCGAGGGCGGTCGAGTGCACGGAGCTAAGTGCCTCGCCGTCCTCGCGGGAGTCGCTTAGGCGGCTCCCGTGGTGTACCTGTGTTAGTGCCAGTGCGCGCCAGTCCCGTGCCTAGTAAAAAGAAAGAAAACAGACAACCCAAGGGAGGGATGGGAGGACGGCACGCCGCCACCACACAGGGATTTTAAGGAGAGGGGTGTGGTGCGCTAGCCGTCGCCCACCCTTGGGCGTCCGCCTCTTCCTATCTCTCTTCGCATTCTCTCTCCGATTCTCGCTGCAACCTTCGTGCCACCTCGCGGTCGCCCCCTTCTCGTCGTGCTCTCCCTTTTCGCTTCTTCCTCGCATGTGCCCGCGGGAATTCTTTTTGTGCTTGCTAGCCCTTCGATCGGTACGGGTCTCACGTTTCGTTGCATATACACGGAATTCAAAACCGTTGAACGCGCCCCACTGACGCACACTACGTGTGAGTGAGTGAGTATTCTTGATACGAAACCACGACGACACACACCAGTCGACTCGCATCGGTTGCCTCCATGAACGGCGGAGCTATTCTCGCGTCCACACCACACCTGGCGCTCCACACACACACACACACGCACACTACGTACTACTCGAGCGTTTTAATTGAACCCGCAACGGCCAAGGCTGCAACCCGGAAACCCAACCGCGATCTCACACCACGCGGACGTGCCACCAGCGCTCGGCTGGCGTGCGGCAATACGGGCACGCTCGCAGCCGAGCGGAGCAGGGGCCGCAGACACACTGGTGGCCACACGGCAGAGCGACGTGCGACTTCGGCCTAGTGAAGCACACGATACACGTTGTCTGGCCACCGATGGTGGACTCGGGCGCGTCTCGACGGCCGGTGTCGAAGCTAGCGTCCGCCAGCGAGAGGACCTCAGGCGGCGGTGCCGAGGGGGTGGAGCGGCCGGCATGCCCCGCCCCCGCCTCGCCAACCGCATCCTCGGCCCCCGCTACGGCCGGATTCGGTGCCGCCTGCTGCCCCTCTTCCTCCCTCCCGTGGTCTACCGCCGATGCTTGCTCCGCCGCCGCCGCCTCGCTAGCTCCATCGGACATGGAGGCTGGATCACTGAGCGGCTCCCTCACCTGCCAGCCCGACGCCTTAGCTGTCGACGTCGGCGGCAGATACTGGACGGTCACCGAGTCGGGTGAACCTTCAGTCTGCTGCCCCTCTCCCTCCCTCCCGTCTGCCTCTGCTTGCTCCGCCGCCGCAGCCGCCGCCGCCGCCGCCCTCTCTTCAGCCCGCCTCCTAGCCCGCTCCCGGAATGCTCTCTCCGCCGGCCGCTGCCCCCTCTGCCTCCTGGGTGCTCGGCTCGGCCGCTGCCGCCACGCGCGCCAGCCAGCGACGACCGCCACGAGCAGCAGCGCCAGAATCACGGCGACGGCGCTGCTCGAGGCGCTGGGACGGCCGGCGGGGCTCTCTGCTCCCGCCGCCTCCCGCCGAGCCTGCCGCTCGTGCTGCTGCAGGAACTCCACCACCCGCTCTTGTGCTGACCCACCCAAGATGTGCTCCATCCATGGCTTGTCGAGGTCCGGGCCATCGGCAAACGCCACCTCCGAGACGCTTTTGTGCATAGCCGTCCACTGCGCACCCCAACCCCGATCGGCGGCGCCAGGCGGCAGCTCGGCTGGTAGGCGGGCTCCAAGTTGTAGCAGGATAGCGACAACCTCTCCCGCCGCAGCACTCTCGCTGAGGGCAGTGAGGGAAAGTGTGAGCGCGGCGCTCATGAGAGCTGTGCCGCCGCTGGCGTCAGTCAAGTGCACGTCGGCACCAGACTCAAGCAGAAGTCTCACCAATGGCAGGTCCGCATAGTAGCAAGCTGATATCAGCAGCGTCGGCTGGTCTTTGTCGTCAGGGTCCCGGGCGTCGGGAGAGACGCCTCGCTCGAGCATCTTTCGCAGCAGAACGGCGCGGCTCTGACGCTCCCTGGGACTGTCACCGGCTGTGCTGCTTGCCAGCGATCTGAAGAGCTCTCGCACAGCGTCAGCTTCCGGCATGGCTCGTACAGCGGGCCCGCGGGACCTCTGCAAGCCGGTCAAGGACCTCTCGACACTCTCGGCCGTCGGCGGCAGTCTGACCCCCCAATCCTGCATCCTCCTCATCCCGTCTCACGCCTTTTTGCTTGATACGAGCGTCACTTTGTACCAACCCCCCCTAGTTCGTGGGGACCCCCCCGCCGGTCGGTGGTCTGCCCCCGAGGTGGACCGGACCCCCCCTCCGGTCGGTCGCTCTCTCGGCGGCGGGAGGTGTGACGACCGACCCCCCCCTCGGTCGGTGTCCTTGCCGTGAGCCCCCTCAAACAAACGTTCTCCCTCCTTCTGAGCACTTGAGCACTGGATAGGGTCGATTCCGCATGGTACGGGACCCCTCGATCGTCTCGCCTTCCCTCACTGGTGTGTTCATTGGGGGGGGTCATAACAAACACGGTGCAGGATCGAGGTGCACGCTGCCGAAGCAGTCCCCCCTCTCCCCGACGGCGATGGCGGTGTGACCGATCGAGCTACAAGAGGAGCTTGTTCGGCATGATCGGGGTGAGCCGAGCAGTTCCTCACTTCCTCAAATGGGTGAGCTTCAGATCTCAGGCAAACCTTCCCCCTCACCTTCGGCTCATGTGGATTCGAACCACCGCCGGGATGGAAGCTTCCTGCTTCCATCTTGAGAGACAGCGCCGCCCTCCTTCTCGCGAACCGCCACGGGCGCTTCGAAATCGCCGATTTTCACTATGAAAACCAGTCACGCAGCCAAGCGCCAAGGAGACTCTTCGCCGAGGCCCGAGCAAGCCCGACCGCACACATATATGTGGAGCATCTACGCAGTCGCAGGCCTGGTCCTGCTTGCCGTTGCTTTGTACAAGCTCTGGCAGCGCTCCAGTTCTCCACAGTACGCGCGCATCGTCCCTTCTGATGACTACGATGACTTGCCAAGGAGGTGCTGGCCGCGCTCAAGCGGCTCGTCAACGGGTACAGTGTGTCGCCGGCGAAGCTAATCATGGACGACGACGACGACCAGAGTGTGGACATGGACGAGCTCGTGTTCCGACCCAATCCTGTAGAGCGTCTCGAGCTCAGCCACTCGGACGACGAGGAGTGATTAGACGGGGAGAGGTCGCTTGGTGTCTCTAGTATTTCGAGATACTAATTTATTCACAGCTGCGGCGAGCGTGTGCGGTGTGACCCTCGAGCCAACCCGACCGACCCCCCCCCCCCCCCCCGGTCTGCGCTCCGACCGACCGGACCCCCCCTCCGGTCTGCGGTTCTCCGCGGCCGTCGACCGGACCCCCCCTGCGGTCGGTCGGTCTGCGCTGGGCGCTCAAACCGCGAACTCGGCCTGTTCACTACAAGATGACGCTCGTATGAGCACTTGAGCACGAGCACTGGATAGTGTGTGTGTGTGTGAAAAAACGGCGAATGGCGGTTATCAGTTGTGCGGGGCCGTCGCCGCGGCTCGCCTCTGCCGCGGCGGCTGCTGCGCGCACGCGGCGGCGCCGCTCTCTCGCGCGACGTCTGGCGCCGCGGCTCGCCGCCGGCGCACACCGCGCTCGTCCGACCACCCGCGGCGTGGCGTGCGCGGCGCTGCGCGCCGCTCTGGGAGCGCTTCTGCGCCTGCACTGCCTCTCTAGACGTGAGGGGCATGCGCCCAGTGCCACAAACATTGTAGTGCCTCCAGTTTCTCACTGGCAGTCTCTCGCTACCACAGGCACACTGACAGAGGCGGGCCGGCAGGGGCGGTCTTTCCTTTCCTTCACTGCATCATCATTTTTGCAAGATTCGGGGGTGTAACTACTTTCGTGAGCTGTGAACAGACGCACTTGCCTTCGGTGGCAAGTGCAATCCCGCAGGGTGGGCGTGCTTTCAGAGAGAGAGATTTTTAGAAGCCGAGATGGTCGTCGAGGGTGTCGAAAATGTCATTCGCCTCGCTAGTAGAGCCGGAGCCGCATGAGTCTTGGTCGGAGGAGAGTCGTCGGAGGAGCGGTCGGACCGCTGCACCTCTCGCGCTTGTCGCGCCTGATGCGCTCTGCGAGGAGGCGGGGTCGTAGTTGTCGTGCTCGAGCGTCGGGTAGGTAGCGCGCCTTGCGACCTTGTCGGCCGTGCTGCCGTCCCAGTTCTTCTCTCTTGCTTTCACAGCCTCACGAGAGTAGGGGTGTAACTCTCTATAGCAATCAAGACACGTGGACCTCGCTGCACCCCTTTCATCAACACAGAGCGGTCCAAGAGCGTCCAAGAGGTGGCTCCTCTGCTGCTCCCCCCCCCGCTGCGCGCACACACGAAGGGGCGCGCGCAGCAGCGCGCGCCACCCAAGCCTCTCGGCCTCGATTCGCCGGTCTCCCTTCTCTGCAAGCACCGCCAGCCCCTGAAGCGACGCCGCGGCGCTCAGCGGCCGAGTGCACTTGTCTGTTCTCCCACGCCGCTCAGCGGCCGAGCGCAGGGCTGCTCTGTTCTCCGAACCCGTCCTCCTGACTGACCTCACAGGTTCCATCGTCCACCGTCCATGGCTCCTGTCGCCGCCTTCCTTCTGTCCGTGCTCTCTGCGCCGGGCGCACGCGAGACGCTCTTTGCCTCTGCCCCTGCGCCGTCGCCATCTCCGTGTCCGGACGCGGTCCCGACATGCCCCTCGGATCTCGAGCCCTTCACGTCTGACGACCTGGGAACGAAGAACAAGGCGCGCCTCCTGCGCCAATCCCCACCGTCCCGCCGCCGCCCTCCACCTCTCGCGCCCTCTCCGCCCCGCCGCACGCAGGTCTTCGACCAGCTGACGGTGGCGGAGCAGCTCACGATCGAGGGGATGATGGCACCTATGGGCGTCTCGTTCGAGGCCTGGGGCAAGTGCACGAACGAGAACTGCTCGACGATTGCCAAGATCGCGCTCAAGAAGCCGCCCAAGTCGGAGGTGCTCGCCTACTTTGCCGGCGGGCCGAAGCCGAAGCGCATCGCGACCTTCTGGTGGCTGCAGGCCCGCCTCCGCATCGCGCAGATCCTGGAGGTGGAGATGCCCATCGGCCCGAACTCGATGCCGACCGTCGTGAGGACTGTGCCGTGGGAGAACCGCCCGTTCGTCTACTGGGACCAGTACCACCGGGCCCAGCGCAACGCGTTGGTCGAGCCGCTCCTCCCGCTGATGGACCCGATCGTGAACTCCCTCATCCCGTCCCCCTCGATGCTGGCGTCCCTCGACGCCGCCAACGAGACGTGGTCCCCCAAGGCCTCTGTCAGCGGCGGCGCCACGTCCGTGCCCGGCTCGACCACCAAGATCCGCCAGTACCTCGGCCGCATCGACATCAGGGCGGGCCACGGCGCAAACTACTTCAAGGAGGGCCCCGTCACATTCGTCATGGAGTTTGACTGGGACACGGAGGAGCTCGTTATCAAGGTGGCAGGAGACGGCGTGCGGAGCGAGCCCGCGCGACGCCTACTCACATTGTGCACTGCTGTGGTGTAGGACATCTCGTGGTGCCCGGGCGCCGGCAACCCGATCTTCAACTCCGTCGCGGAAGTCCTCGCCGCCAACGCTTCCGGGACCCTCAAGATGTGCACGGTCGACACGGTTTGGTACGGCGACACCAAGGCGTGGATGGAGCCCGAGCCGCCATTCGTCGAGGCGGCAATCCCTCCCCAGATCTACTACCCGGAGGGCCCCCGCTTCTCCGTCTCGGGCCGCACCGTTTCGTGGATGGGCTGGGACTTCCACACCGACATCCACGCCATCGAGGGCATCCACATCTCGAACCTGCGCTTCAAGGGAGAGCGGATCGCCTACGAGATGTACGCTGCCGACTTTACCGCGGTCTACTCGGGGGCGTCCACGCGCAAGGACATCTTCTACTCGGACGGCGGCTGTGCGTATAGCGCCCCCTGCCCTTCGCCCCCTCCGGTACCCCCCCCCCCCCCCCCGATGCGCTACTCGCCCGCTCGACTCCTCTAATCGCCCGCCCCCGCTTCAGCTTACTGGCTACGCCGTCGGCTCCTACGTCATCCCGGGCAACCTCAACAATGACAAGATGGCAGAGTTCTGGGGTGCCAAGGTGTCCGAGTCGTCGCTCGGCGCAATGCACACGCACTCCGTGAGCTACAAGATCGACCTCGACATTGCGGTGCGCCTCCGCCCGTTACTCACCACACCCATCATTACTCACCTCACCCGTCGCTGCCCATCAACAGCGCCGCCGACCCCTCGCCGCCACAGGGGCTTGAGAACTCCTTCATGACCAAGAAGCCCGGGTACAAGTCGGTAGCCTCGCTCCTGGAGGAGGCCGGCGAGGACCCGGCGCGCGCGCAGCCACCCCCCACCCCGGCCCGCGCCCACCCTCTCAAACACAAGAGTGGTGGTGTCCCCTTTGCAGAGCCAGTATGTGGCCGCGGCCGACAACTCGTTCTACATGAAGGCCACGAAAATCACTTCGGAGGGCTTCTGGGACAACGACGGCGACAGCGAGTGGACCCCACCTGAAGCCTGCCTCTCCTCGGACGCCTCGACCAAGTTCATCGTGTACAGCCCGACGCAGAAGAACTACAAGGGCAACAAGCGCGGCTACAAGATGTCGGTGCCCGGCAGCCCGCCGGTGCTTTACCCCGAGGGCGACCCGTACCTGCACATCCAGAACTTCACCAAGTGGTGCGCCAGCGCGCGCGGCCGCGCGGGCTGCCCCGTTGCGCTCTGATCCCCGCGCCTCTCACCGCCTGTCCCCTCGCCCGCAGCGACATCGGCATCACCAAGTACTCGCCGGATGACCTCACGCCCGCGGGCCAGGCGAGCTCTGGACTCCGCCAAATGGTCGCACCCATTTCTGTTAGCACCCCCCCCCCCCCCCCTCTCCCAGGTGGTTTTTGGCAACCTGTACCCGGAGCCTGCCGCTCCCGGCACCGACATCTCGCACTTCTTCAACGGCGAGAGCCTCGAGGAGGTCGACATCGTGCTGTATGTGCGCGGCCGCGCCATTCGCTCCCGCAGAATGCATTGATTGCCCATACTCACGCTCTGGCTTGCCCGTCCACAGGCACACTCGACAAAGATGCACTGGGTCGTGGCCGAGGACGTTCCCGTGCCGTCCACGATGGGCAAGGAGCTTGCGTTTGAGCCCTACAACTACTTCGACTACAACCAGCTCAAGAACCTGCCGACGAACCAGTACGTGTACCCGTGCGCCGAGTGCAAACGCGGCGGCCGCACCACGGAGGAGGGCGAGGGCGGCGTCATCCCCACGTGCACGCCTTGAGCTAGCCTCGGGCCAGCCCCGAGGAAAACTGCACACTTGCATTGTGGCGCCGCGACAGCACCGAGGCGCGTGTACGATGGATAGTGTTGCCTCTCGGCGACTCGGCGACTCGCTCGGCCCCCGCCCCCTGCCGCTATAGCGCCACGAGGGGGCTGCCCTCCCGACCCGAGAAGGCGGCCGCGTTGGCCGCTTGCTCGCGCGCGCCTGTACAGTCTTTTGGTCCCGGTGGGTTTCGGGTTTGTGCCACACTGGAGTCACTAGTCCCCGCGGCCGTTCGTACGTTCGTGTTGTTTCGCTAGGTTGTGCAGCCGCCTGGACGTTGAGTTGTCGCTCACTGCGTGGGTTGGTGTGAGACTTGTTATAGAACCGACGCCGGAGGTGCCCCGCGCGCGGACCATTTCTTTGGATGGAACCGGCGCCAGCGTAATCCGTAAACATGGAGGGAGGGGGGTCGCTCAGACGTCTAGGTGTCGTGCATGGGTGGCACCACTGGACAGAGGGCACCTCCTCTTTAGAATTTCCCCAGAGGCGACTCAGAGCCGTACCGTACTGACGTATCCGGCAGCCGAACCCCTCCACGCGCGACGCGCACGCCGACTGCCCCGCCCCCCGCGGCCTGCCGCAGTCGGTGTCGTCCGGTCGCGACGGGGACACTGAGATTTTTAGCTATTAGCAATTTGTTTGTGTCGTGTCTGCGTGTGAATCATGCAAAAGAAAGAAAAACGCCTGAAATCTTTTTGTTCAACACCTTCGCCCACCTTAACTGATTGCCGGAATTCTTTTTGTGTGCGTGTGAGAGTACGTACTAGCACGCGCCAGTTCGCACCTGTGTCCTGTCTGCTGAGAGAGATTTGTTTTTCTAAATTCTTTCGACTACACCCGCCTTTGGGCGGTAGCCCGACACAATACATTTGTCTGTCTTTTTGGATTTCTGGTTCGTCTGGGTGAGGGTTTTGCAAGAAACCTCCTCACCACTGCGAACACTTGCTCGTAGGACGACCTCAACTCGCAGCTTGAACACCTTCGCCATGCTCGCGCTCTGCGCTCTCGCCGAGGCCTACGTCCTCACCGCGCGTGGCCACGCCTCCCACAGCCGCCTGCATCCCGTCCGTATGGGCACGACCGCTGACTTCAAGACGGGCCTCACCATCGAGTTTGACAACTCGGTCTGGAAGGTGGCGCCCCAGCCCTCGCCGGGCGCTGCAGACACAGCGGCTCGCCAACCCGGAGCCAATCTCGTAGCTGGCGCGGCCGATGCTGGCTCGCGCTCTCCGCTGACGGCGCCACGGCTGCTGGTCCGCAGGTGCAGGAGTTCCTCCACGTCAAGCCCGGCAAGGGCTCCGCGTTTGTGCGCTCAAAGCTCAAGAACCTCGAGACGGGCAACACGCTCGAGAAGACGTGGAAGGCGGGCGAGTCGTTTGCAGACGCGCAGGTGGACAAGGAGGAGATGCAGTACTCGTACATGGACGGTGCGCGAGTCGACCCGCACCCACTCTCGCACCGCCAATCGCCTTTCTCGTGTCCAGCGCCGCGACATCCTCTCACGAAATCCTCTCACTCCTCCGCCGCCTCCTCCGCCGCCGCCCTCGCCTCCGCCGCCTCGGCCATCGCCAGCCGTGGCCGCGGCCACTCGGCCGTATCTCGGCCGTATCTCGGCTATAAGTCGGCGCTAGGACGCTAGCGAGGACATATCTCGGCTAGATCTCGGCTAGACCTCGGCTAGATCTCGGCTAGATCTCGGCTAGACCTCGGCTAGACCTCGGCTAGATCTCGGCTAGACCTCGGCTAGACCTCGGCTAGACCTCGGCTAGACCTCGGCTAGACCTCGGGTAGACCTCGGCCAGATCTCGGCCAGATCTCGGCTAGATCTCGGCTAGGTCTCGGCTAGATCTCGGCTCTTAGATCTCGGCTAGAGCTCGGCTAGGTCTCGGACATATCTCGGCTAGACCTCGGCTAGACCTCGGCTAGACCTCGGCGGTCCGTCCGCAGGCGAGGACATGGTGTTTATGAACATGGAGACGTACGAGGAGGAGCGGATCCCAAAGGCGCGAGATGCGCCGAGATGCGCCGAGATGCGCCGAGATGCGCCGAGATCGAGCGAGGTGGTGGAACCAGAGGAGGGACTAGGACCTAGAGGAGGAGTCCAGATGAGCCGAGATGAGCCGAGATGAGCCGGGATTGTCCCAGATAGAGCGAGATATGTTCGTACCCTTGCAACCCACTCCACCCCGCCCTCGCACCCTCCACCCCACCCTCGCAGGGCGACATCGACAAGGCGCCGTCCACAGACAGGGGGGGAGGGGGCGAGCCTCTCTGCTGCACCTCACCTACATCTCGGCCACGTCTCGTGTGTGCAGGCAAAAGCACAGCCCCGGGGCCCAAGACGCACAAGCACAGACAGTCGAGAAGGGAGAGACAGCAACGGCAGTCAGAAGTCAGCACTGGGTCCCGGGAAGGCGAATGCGATGTGTGTACAGGCAGAGCCCCGCCCTCGAGGGGAAGAGTGCAGCGGCCTCCGTAGCGCCTCACGGGCATCGACCCCCTCCCCCTCACACACGCGCGCGCAGGCGGAGTTTATCAAGGAGGAGATGCAGCTCACTGTCCTCAAGTGGCAAGGCAAGCCGATCGACGTGCAGGAGCGACCCAGCCGAGATCTCGCCGAGATCTCGCCGCGATCTCGCCGAGATCTCGCCGCGATCTCGCCGCGATCTCGCCGAGATATCAAGCGCCGAAACCGACGACCCTCGCGAGGTATCTCCGCTGCATCTCTGCTCCACTGTGTCTCCGCTGTATCTCCGCAGGTGCCGAAATCGATGACCCTCAAGGTTGTCGAGGCTGCGCCGGGAGCGGCCGGCAACACAGCGCAGGTCCGCCGAGATGTCGCCGAGATGTCGCCGAGATTTCGCGCGGAACAGCAGTCGTCGCAGCGCTCACGCCGGCCTGCCGTCGGCCGCAGGGGCGGACAGAGAAGCCGGCGGTGCTCGAGACGGGCGCCGAGATCATGGTTCCCATGTTCATCAAGGAGGGGGAGGAGATCAAGGTCGACACGGACGACCGCAAGTACCTTGGAAGGGCCACCTGAGCGGCGCGCTGCAGCCATATGGACTCACACTCCGGGGGTAGGGGACCCCGTCATACTGCTGTGAATACGTCCCGAACCCATATACTGTGACCTGGTAGCATATGCGCCGCTCGAGGCTAGAGGCCGCGGTCCTGCGGTGTGGTGTTGCGGGGTTGTAAATAAATAAATAAAAACGGACACCTCTACTGTGAGATGGGTAAAAAGGAACAGGTCCCCGCCCTTGCGATCTTTGTGCAGGGTTCTTTGTGGGTGTGGTCGGCGACTAGCCGGGGTCGTCCTCCCGATCGCCGATGCGGGGGGGGACTAGCTCTAGCACTAGCCGTCTTCCACATGGTGCCTAGGGTCCCTGCTGCTCCTAATCTCTTCGTACATCCTCCTGCTGATCTCCGCAACGTCCTGCTCCCTCCCTCGTCTCGCCCTGCGCGAGTCTGCTCCGCCTCACCGTCGTCTGCCCTGCGTCGTCTGGTGACGGGTCCTCCATAGTCGGTTGAGGCCCGCCGCCCTCCTCGTGCTGCCTCTTCCCAACGTTCCCTCGGCGGCCGATGCCGTCTGGTCCGACTCCGCCGTCCCCGGGTCTGCCCTGCCCTCGTCTGCACTAGCGTCTGCCTCGTCATCACTGGCGCCTCTCCTCTTCTTTCTCCTCTTCTTGTATGCTTTGTACATCGCGTCGATTCCTTTTTTCGCGTGAGCACCACCCTGAAGCCCGCCCAGCAGCTGAACCGCTCCCTAAGTCGAAGGAGCATCATCAGTCTCACCCACTTCGCTCGCTGCCCACTGTCTCCGCTCCCTCCCGCTTGAGCTGCCGTCGCGGCCCTCGTTCGTCCCACTGGCTGCTGGCCTGTCTGCACGTTACCTCCGTTATCCCTCGCGGGGTTGTTGGGCGCGAGCGGTTCGATATTTTTTTGGCGCGAGAGCCGCGACTTTGGCTTTTCTTGTGCGCGGCCGTGCCGCGAACTTCGCGCCCGGCGCGGGTTTACGTGCCCACAAAGCCACAATATATCGACCACAAACCCACACCCACATCGCGCACACACATCGATACCGATCACACCATACACACACATGCCACATACATTCATTCTATCGCCAACACGCGCCAGCTCTTCTCGACGCATCGGCCCCCGCCCCCCCCCGCTAAATAATGTGACACCACCCCACTGGCTCGCGGCAGTATGGGCACAGCCGATCGGAGCAAGGGCCGCAGCCCGCACACGTACTTCGCCTGCTCGCCGCCGCCGCTGCGCTTCCCCGCGCCGCCGCGCTTCCCCGCGCCTGACCACGCTAGATATCATGTCGTGAGGGCGTGATTTGAGCCTCTAACGCAGCGCGTCTAGGGTTTGCGTTGGCCTGCCACGAAAACTCAGGACCGTTGCAGTCATCGCACTGCCACCTTTGGCAGCACAAAGCTGCCAGACGTCCGCCAGCTCCGGAGCCGCTCCCTCGCGGCTGTCGAAGCGCTCCTCGTCCCACGCGATCAGGTAGCCCAGCCGCATCACCTCGACCGCCCACTTGCGAGCCGCCTCCGGGAAGAGCTCGTGCGACTGCGGCGACCACTCCGCCGCCTTGAGGATCAGCCTGCCCACCTCTACCGCCTCGGCCGCTGGCTGCAGATTGGCCGGCCTGAGAGAGGGCAGAGGCGTGGGGTGTAGAGAGAGGATCCGGCGAGTCGGGGAGAGACCATTACATTGCGCGCCTCAGTGCGAGTGCCTTGGCCTCGCCCGCCACGCGCACGCCGAAGCGGCACGTCGAAGCGCTTGCGGAGACGACGACACCGACCTTGCCGTTCATCGAGAGCCGCGAGACCAGAGAGTGGATCGCGACTGTGGAACCGACGGCCGCAGCGGTCGGATCCGACTCGCCCCACGCGCAGAGGACGCGCACCCGCTCGAGGGCAGACGGGTCGCCCGCTGAAGAGTCC